TTTGGACAAAGATTTTGCATACCCATGAGTGATCGGAGGACAAACACCCTCGATCGCATATTCTTTCCATACCGACGGATCCCATTTCTGTGCTTGAAGAAACTGGCGCTCAGACCACACCTTGAATGGCATGGTTTTTGGTCCACGTGGTTTATTGTTGATAAGAAGTTCCATGTCTTCAAGCAAAATACGAAATGACAACAAGTCCACAACGGAGTGATGAATGACAATGTGCAAGAACTGGACCGAATTCGGGGTCTCCATCAATGTCACAGCGCAAATTGGGCCGCGGATAAGATGGAGGGACTTGTTCTTTCTTTGGGCGACTTGAACAACAACATCGATGCTGGGAATTGACTCAAATTCGACCTTGATTGTGTCATGAGAGGGCTCATTAGGAATAAACTGAACCCAGCCGGTGTTCATCATGCGATCATATCGAGTTCTTACCAATCGTGATGATAAGCCAACATTCCAAAGTTGTGCTGTACGTCGCGGAGTAAAGCATGGCGGCGAGGTTTGAGCAGGATAGTTTGATTCCAAAAATGAACGTTTTTCCACGGGTGCTGGAAGTTTAAGTGCTGCACTGGGGTCAACGGCACAATTCCGGACACACGCCCAGACCATGGGCTTGATTTTTTCACCATTTGAGTTTTCTTCATTGCCAACGAGAAAATAGTTGGATTCTTCAGCACTTCTGAGTTTGACAGCAAAAGTCCTGCGCACTTCGCCTTCGACACCAAACGAATGGAGGATATCGAATCCCCACCAAGCGCAAAAAGGACGAGTGACGACCGATAATGTTCACTTTATTACCCAAAACTTGACCCCAGAGCGATGCCAATTGTCTCTCGACATTTGTCTGCAACGCATTTCTTTCAACAAATACATACCGAGCCTCAAGAGCCTTCTTGTCGACTACTCCATTCGAGCTTTGAGGAAAGGTATCCAGTCCGACCCATATCCCCGGGACCATGAACACAAGAAGAAGGTACATAACGTGCCTTCGCAGTGACTTGGTGTCAATAGTCGCTGGTGCAAAGTACGCGACCAAATGAGTCTTGACTTTCACAATTGTAGCAGCAGCGGTCACACGAGGGCGTTGAAGAATGGTATTGGCGACCTCGTCCAATTCGATTCTGTAGCCTTTCAACTTCACTTGCTGTTGGACCGACCTAAAATTTCGAAGTGCCCATTCGACACAACATGGCCCATGTCTTCGGTCCGAAACATGAGAGAGCCATCACCAACAATTGTGTCTGGAAGGAATCGATTGGCAGTTTATGAGGGCAGGTTCACACAGGCCGGAGAGACGCAAATGCCTGCCAGGTAAATCTCACCAACATGGCCCACAGGGACCACGCGCTTGACGTTGTCCAAAATGTACGCGTTGACGTTGTCGACCCACACAAAGGCACTTTAATCGGGGGTACTGGGAGGCTCTCCCAAGAGCGATAATCCTGTTGGTGTAATCGTCAGAATATCCACCGAAGTCAACCCCTCCAAGTCAGCTTCACTTCGCAGCACCAATGTCGATCCATGGGACAATGCAGACCACACCTCCCATTGGCACACATCGAATCCAATCGCCATAAACTGCATCACTTGGGTATCTGGGGTGAAACCGATTTCTTCGGCTCGGCAAACAATGGCATTCGCAGCACTCATGTGAAGCACAGGGACCCCCTTGGGTGTTCCAGTGGAGCCTGACATGTACACAATGTACGCTTCGTTTGCTGGCGACGCCACGTGTTCCGAGGAAGGCACAACTTCCTTGGTATCGTCGCCAAGCAGTTGGTAAGACACTGTGAGTACAGGAGTTTCGCGCTGAGCGACTTCATGGACTGTTCGTGGTCTACGGTAGTCAACCTGGCTTGGATATTTGCATCGCTGAGCATGAACGATACCCGTTTGGCAGGAAAGGACGCATCGATCGGGATCATCGTCACTCCAACTGCGTTGCCAACAATCCAATGATGAACTTCACGCGCCGGTCCATAATCACAGCCACACGAGTTTCCACAACCATGCCGTGAGCAGCCAAATCGCACGCCAGAGTGCTTGCTGCAGAGTTGAGCTCACCGTACGTCAGCACGGTACCGTCGGTCTCGATAGCTTCCAGTTCTGGGCTGCGCTTCGCGATGCTTTCGAACGCATCGTGCAGTCGAGCATGCGGGAGGGACACCTTGGGTCCAAAGGACACCGACATCGTCTCCATGCAGTCCACATCCATCGTACCGTCGGCATACGCTTCGCTTCTGCCAACACGCCATACCTTTCGGCAATTGTTTGACGTTCCATCGTTTAACGGGTGAGGGTGGTGACATGTTTAGGCTTCTCCGAAAAAAGCGCGCGAAAGAGTCGCCACTTCCATACAATTCTTAAGTATTACCCGAGGATCCGATTTCACAGGATATCGCATAGTATTTTTATCCAGCACGATTCTATGTATATTTACGTTAAGTTATACTGAAAGTAGACTCCAAATAACAAAACTTCAACAATGCATACTTCCATCTGCACGATAATTCTTCAAGGTTGATCGGAGTGACGCCACATAACATGTCGCGTCGGCAGCATGGAGGATGAACCGTCCGATGGACAAACCTACGTGAGAAAGCGTTGCACTACATCGTCTTCGTGTCTGGCTGCGGCTGCGAGGTCAAGCGACAGACAGTTCAACCTCGAATATACAATCCGAGCTGTACGAGTGCCATGTCTTACCTTGTTCGCGTCTGGTCGTCGCTGAGGGGAACGAGTACGAATTGACAGGTATGCTTCAGACTCTTGCCGCGTTGGATTCTGCGCACCTAAAAAGCTCAAAATAAATGAATCAAGTAGAGTGATGCAAGCTTTGGACGTGTCGTAGGATTCTACATCCCTCCTTGCCTGTCGTCATCGACATGTTGAATTGACTTCTTCATGGCACAATGGTGGATCTTCTCCGCCGCGAGCGTACCGTTCGTGGTCTCGAATCTCGCATCCTACTTGCGACAACGCGAAGAAGATGCCCTTATGTGTCTATACACGTTTGACTCGCCTGATTTCGCTTCGCGAATTCCCACGTGCCCATTTGGACACCTCGTACCAACACAAGGTCTCCTCACCCCGCTGGGTGACGACCAGGTGGGGTATCGTTGGTCACCCACAGACACGATTAACACGGTGCAAGTTCAATCGTCCGACGTGATGGAGTCGATGGCATTCTACGAACCCACCTTGCGGAAACGAGGAGTGACATTTGAAATGGTCTTTCGACTGTTCAAACCTGCCGAAGCCAACGTCAACGTGAATCTGTTCGCGATCGCGTCACCGTACGACGACTGCACGAACCCGGGCTTTCGCGTTGAAGTGAGTGACCGTCACCTCCTTGTCCTCATCTTTTACGTCCTCAAGCCTGACAATTCGGTCCAAGTGTGCTTTGAACAGCATTTTTACTCGATGATGGAGAAGCGGGGTGTCATTCCGTGTCAGATCCCATTTGGCGCGTCCCCCAGAGTCGACACTGGTCACCTCCCCCCGATCGTTCATGCATTGATTACAATTGTCCCCAATGACCCCGACCCCGGCGCGTGGACCTCTGTGTTTCGAGTTGGGTACGCTGATGCTGACGGCACTCCCCGCGAATGCATTGCGTACAACTCGATGGAAGGCGTTCGAGGAATGGCTGACTTTTCCAAAGTCCACGGCAACTACAAGCTATACATTGGGAACAACGGTCGTCGCGTCAAGCACCGAGTGCATCGCAAAGGTCCACCTGTGACATCTCCGCCACCCCCTGGCCCGACCGCGCCACCAACAGAAGTCACGATGTTTGACGAGGTGGGCAACATGATCAAGATGTTACTGCCACAAATCGGCGGCTTCTTTTTGGCGTTCAATGGAAAGAAACTTGTGGAAGTCTCGACGACGGGGATATCCTTCGGAGATGGCGGTCGCGTGTATGGAGTGGGGGACATTGATCAGTGGGTAAAAAGAGCCTTCTCCAAGCTCAAAGATTCCGCGCCGCTCCAGCTTCGCAAGTCGGATATTTTCAATCAACTCGTGGCGATGCGGGGGGGGACGCCAACCCCTCTTCCCACGCCCCAGCCATCGACGGACTGGTCTAAAAACCCACTCCACGCGCGGTACCCACCACCGAACGCATCCATTGACATGGACATGTTTTTCTTTGCGATCGCCGCCAAGTCGATCAACCTGAACCGTCTCAAGGACATCCAATCGATGGACCTGCCTCACATGGGGATGTACCAGCGCAATCGAACGACTACGATGATGCAAGACACGTCGGTGGAAATTCAACTGTGGGCTTTTACGTCAAATCAGCGCACCCATCCACCACTTGTCATGACGCGGTGGCCAGAGTTTGGCACCCTCACGCGCTGTCTCGCTGAACCAAGCACACCGTCAAAACACGGAGCGGTGATAAACGCGTCCACTCAAATCAACGACGCATGCGTTGTTTACACGCCCCCGCCCGGGCTCTCCAACGAAAACATTCCTGGGGGGAACCCATACTTGGTCAACCGCCGAGCTGCCCTGCCGTTCTCGACGTTTGGGTATGCGGTGGCTGCAAATATCAAGGCTGTTGCCACCGTGCAAGTGTTTGTGAACTCTTCAACGGGATCAAAGTCGTCCAAGAAGAATCAAGCGGTGGGGGTCATGACCAATACGATCCTCATATCACCCCCCTATGAGTACCAGTCTGGCCCCCTGGACGGTGGCAAACGTCAACTCTCCTTGGACCTTCACGCGGTGCGCCCGCTGCACCCCAAGGCATTGTTGCGTGTAACTCTAAAGAGTGGCATGGAAGCGACCCTCGCGATCCCGTCGGATCCGTTGCGAAACACGAGTCGTGCTGCGCACTGCGGCATGCAGCAAAGATTTGGCGACGTGTGCTTGGCCCGTGATGCCAACAGTACGGGAGTCGAATACGAGATCACGGGAATGTGGCTCAGTTCTACCCACATGACTTTTCGAGGAAACTGGGGCCAAATCCAGGCTGCTCTACAAGACATTGTGGTCACCGATGTCGTGCGATATGCTCACGTGACCAAACTCAAAGTCAAGATCGAGTCGTTGACGCCGCACCTGCTGACGTTTCCTGTCGTGAAGCGGACTATATTGGTTCAGTTTAGACCTGTGGCGACGTCGTCAATCTCACTCTTGGCAGTCGAAAGTCCAGACGAAGCCGACTGCACCCCGCTCTTTTTCGTGCTGCCTTGTGTGTGCGAAGAGTCGTTTGGCGGCCGGTCTGGTATTTGGGGCAGCCTCTTCTCCGCATTTGTCGTCGCATTAGTCGTGGGCAAGTGGCAGAATCGGACTGCTGCAGGACGCGCCGCACTCTTGGCCCAGCGAACTGTCCAAACCTCATCCGAGTACAACGCAATCGTACGGCAGTTCAAAGGCGTGCTGCAAGAGCCGAACATGCATGCCGTCGTTGCACTACTCACGCTGTGTAAAACTCGCCATGAAACGCTGATCGCGCTTGCGGGCGTGACGTTGGTCTTGACAGAAGTGCAGACGATGCCGCAGTTTTGGAGCGTGCTATTGTCCCAACCTCGCGACGATATTGACCCTGACAAACTGGATCGCATGCTGCGATGGTATTGTCGCCTCGTCGGCCGTGGTTGGATCAATGAGGTATTGGAAGCCGCGGTGAATGCCGTGCATTCCTCTGGACAGACCACGGAAGAACATGCGTGGTCTGTGGTGGTGGAGACGCTGAAGGCGAATCTTGCTCTCGTGCCTTTGGAAATCGCACTCCTTTCAACCGTTGGTTTAGCCCCGCCGTTTGGCTTCGTGGACCACTTCTTACGTCCGAGTCTCCAAGCGGCAATTCCACACCTGACGAAGACCGTGCAAGCAGTTGTTGCAAGCCACGTCGACAACGCAACGTGGATGCTACCGTTGGCGCAAATCGTGCTTCAACAAGGCTTGAAAGCGAGCTACACTCCACAAATGACTTGTCTGAGTGGCGGTTGTCACGAGCTGATGCCACATGCGCTCTTGCATCTTCTGTGTCTGGTCAAGCGGTACGAGGAAGGAATGGTGGCGTTATGCCAAAGACAAGATCGCGACGACGTTCCTTCCGTTGGCGTGCGCTTAGAGCAGATCATCGAGGCGTTGGGCATCACCAAGCAGATGTACTCGGACCTCGTTGGGCTCACGACGTCCACAGCCATGTCGATCGACTAACGAACGTCTGCAGTGCTGCCACGTGTCAGGTTACCGTTGGAGGATTATCCGGATGATCCGGATTATTTCGCGCCACTGGGCGGTACCATAGGACCACCCATGCAAAGCGAGATAGACAATTCAGGCGGGACCAAAGCAGATCCGATATTTTATTGAAACTGAGTTTAAGAGCACTACATGGTTTTTCTCACGCAATGGATTTGCATATTTAACAACTATTTGGAATTTTATGCTGTCGTTTTCATTCAACTTTGTACTGAAACGAATTGAATTCATAATTTATTTGGTAAAAGAATTGACATTATTTAATGAGGTTTCACTCGGTTTTAGAACCTCGAGTTTAACGTGCTTGTGAACAAGTTTACGTCACGTACTGTTAATTTTGAGCATAATTTATAAAACTATGCAAAAATTAATAGCAAGTATAGACAAAGAAACTCAAAATGTGGAGAAAAAATATGAGGAATAATATTCGATATTTGAATTTGTCAAGGTTGCGTTCATTTCCATTCCCACTGAAAAATCGACAAACCAAGATGGGAGACTCTATGGCCGCCCAGCGATTGCGACAGGAGCGTAAGAACTGGCGCCGCGACCATCCTGCTGGATTCTGGGCACGACCAATTGCTGCCGAGGACGGCAGTTTGAATATCATGATATGGAGTGCAGGTATTCCTGGCAAGGTTGGTACGATCTGGGAAGGCGGTACCTACAAGATGTCTCTGACGTTCTCGGAAGACTACCCAAGCAAACCGCCCCTTTGCAAGTTTGTCCCGCCGCTGTACCACCCCAACGTGTATCCTTCGGGTACGGTGTGCTTGAGCATTTTGAACGAAGACAAAGACTGGAAGCCGAGTGTCACAATCAAGCAAATCCTCAAAGGCGTGCAAGATTTGCTGGATTCCCCCAATATGGCGGACCCAGCGCAACGCGAGCCGTTCCAAGACCTCAAGAACGACCCTGAAGAATACAAACGCAAGGTCAAGGCAATAGCTCTGCGGAATCGCGATAACCAGTAAACCAGTTTCCACCTTTGACGATTCCTCTTTGTTGTTGGTTAGTCTCCTTTCAAAATCGCCTCGGCAGCTTCGATGCGATACGTCTTAGCATTCCCGGGACGCCGCGACAGCTTCCTCGCACGCATCGTGAGCTGCGCCTCAATGTCTTGGAAAGACACGTTTGCAGCCACTGCGCGCACCATGGCAAAATACAGCACGTCCGCAGCTTCCTCGGCCACGTGGGTGGAATCTTCTGCCTCAGCTAGTTCTTGCGCTTCTTCAACGAGTTTGTTGCGCAACAAGGTGCGATCGTCAAAGAGGCGCTTCGTGTAGGAACCTGCTGGTGCCGACCCAAGACGTTCTTGCAGGGTCAACTGAAGCTCTCGAATACCCGACGCGTGACCCCAGCATGTACGAGTGTTCAAGTGACAAAAAGCGCCGGTGTCGGGCACAGCAGAGGCTACATCATGCTGACGTACAATGCATCGAATGGCGTCGCTGTCGCAGTCCAAGTCGAGCCGGATGAGTTCTTGGGTATGACCTGAACTGTCCCCTTTGCGCCACAATCCTCCTCTGATAAACTGCATTAGAATACACAACTGATTGGGATACATGCATACCGCGATCGGCTGTAGAAGATCCCGCGGCGTTCGGCGACGGCGGCAATAATGCTCTCGACGCTGGAATACACCAACCCCAACGCCACCTTGCACATAGAGTTGGTCGAAAGTGTGAATTGAATCGTCGTACCCCAGAGAGGTCTGTCACAACCGTGGCAAATAATCCGTCGGGGCGATCGCTGCGCAAGCATTGAGCAAACGTTGCTCCAGCATCTAACGACGCAGGTGACCCGACAACGTCGACGTGGTGATGGTGATATGTTGGCAAGAGATCAAGAGGTGCGTTCGCAACCACGACGCGATATGACTCAGGCAGGAGTTTTCGAAACTCGACGAGCGAGATCGAAGGTGACGAAGACGTGGCGGTGAGGATCACGCCTGACGATATCTTGGGAAGCATCGCAACTGCAGTTGGCGCGGCGACTTGCTCAAGATCGGAGTCGGTCATGGACAGGTAAACGCGCGAGGGCGGGAGATCCAACGCAATACCTTCAACAAGTTCCTGGTACGTTGTTTGCAACACGACATGTACAGCCCCTTGATCGAGCCATTTGACAGCTTCGTCGAGCATGGAGGTTGTAAACGGACCTATCACCACGTGGTGCGATTTCAACACAGCAGCCATTTCGTTGGTCGGCGCAAGTCGCAGGGAACGTTCATCTTGACGGATGTAAATGGAGCCGACAATACCCCATGAGAATAGGGCAGCATCATTCCACGAGTCGAAGGTTGGAAGGAACATGACGCGTCTGCCTCGAATCAGGAAGTGCCGCCAACTTTCGGCGAGTGTCATCCGGATACCATCGAATGGAAAAATCCCGCGGCTTTTGAAGGTGGACCCAACGTACACCACATGCAGCGATCGGTGGAAGCGGCCATGACGGGGGAAGTATGGGTGCGGCGATACTGACATGATCCGTGGCGATAGCTGCATGCTCCATGCTCAAATTATCCCTGCGTGAGTGTCGACAGACGTTTGGGATGTTGCCGAGGCATTGGAAGAGTTTTTCCTCATGCTGCACAGTGATGCACGAAGATGGATGAATGCCGCGTTCTTAGCAATCTTGCCGTCATGACGTGGAATTTTGAGCTGACTCATGGGCTTAGGTCACGAAATCGGGTATTGGACCGTGAGTTGATGCCTCTTTGGTCATTTAGCAGGGTGGAAAGGGATTGTTCAGGCACGTTCATTTTCAAGGTTGTGGTGCCGCAAACAAACTTTCCAAATCGCGACCACAACTTTGTCGACATTCATCTGCCTCTCCTCCTGGATGTATTTCGACACTGGGGCAGCCCTACCTCGGCGATGTAGTCTTCTCCAGTCGCTTGTCGACAGAAACACGCACTGCCACCAATGCCATGCCCGAACGACTTCTCGGAACAACATGACGTGAACACGGACTAGAACATGTCCAAGACTACGACGAATATTGACACAACCTCGATGTTGACACATTATCCCGCCGATGGGTGCCGCCAAAGCAGGCGTTGCTTCGACAGGGGTGGAGATCTGTATCGGCATCTATGGGTCCACATTTACTCTTCTTCTTCTTCGTCATCGTCGGACTTGAACTGAGACCAGTCGATGTGGTGGTACAGGCGACCATAGTTGAGTGAATCCCAAATGCTGTTGGTCACCTTGCCGTAGACCACTTCAAACACGACGGCGCCGGCAACGACGGCCGAAACGTACGTGACGTTGCTTACCATAAGCGTATTGTACAAGGCGTCAAATGGGCCCTTGCCGTTGATCGAGGATGCCTTCGTGGACATGGTGCGCTGGGCAGCGCGGACGGCGGGGTTCATCACTCGTCGGGCGAACATGGTCTTGAATCGAATTGACGTCACTTCGCAAACCTGACTGAATGGCCCCAAATCCGCTCCCCAGAATAACCTCTTTAGTTCAATATATAGCTGCAATTCATATGGGACACATCCCTTCATACTCAATACACACCTTCCGAAAGGTCGCGCGTCCATACAACGTTGCATTCGTCTGGAGTACAAAAAGCTCGGTTGCTTAATCAATGCGAACTTAGAGGACATCAAGGAACGACAAAATGCATGCATGCGATGCCTGCAACCGCATGTGCCAAACAGAATTCGCAGGAACTGAGAGATTGATGCGGGATAAGGCTTGGCGAATGGTGATGGACACCTCCATAAGTAGAATGACGTCAAAAGCAAAGCCAAAGCATGCCAACGGAGATTATGCATGGGGTTGAAGACGAGTACATCCCTGAGGGCACAGATGAGCTGCCGTCGAGAGAATTCACCTGACAAAGTCGACGAAACCTCTAGAAATGAATATCATGCACTGTGATATGGACCAATAACAGTGCATGGATCGACGTAAACCCTCCCGCCATTTTGAAAACGCGCGCGATCGACAACATGGACGTGGAATTCGACTCCTTCGACAATGACTCGTCGATCGCAACCCTCCGAATCAAGGCATCTTCGCAATACCAGCACAATGATGAAGTCTTCCTCGAGAGCTTGATGACTGCGGTGAAAATCGAAATGGGTCTCCCTCCAGCGGCTGACGTGCAGCTCCATGTCGAAGACAAACGAGTTCATGCGACCCTTACCAAGAAGACTTCGACGCTCAAGGATGAAGTTCCCAATGTCGACCTTGTCGACGTATACACGCATAGGTTGATTCCGTTGCAGGATGCCCTGATGAACAAACCATTTGCCATTCTCGGTAAGCCGACAGTGCTCACATACGCTTGAACTCTGTTGTTGTTTCAGCACTATGGGAGATTCCTTCGAAGTCAACCATGTCCAAAGTCCAACAACATGCATTGAAGCTCTTGGAGTCAGCGATGGACAACACGCATGTGCTGGCACTTCATATCGGACCGTCCTCCGATGCAGCGCTTCAAATTATTCTTGACGAGAAGTGGTACTTTCCGCAGCAAATTTTGCACCACTACCATCTCCCACGGTAAATTCACACCCTAGTCCTCAATTGACTGACATGATAGAGCATCGCTGGAGGCGTTGAGGCAGGCACTTGCATCTAACGACGATCCAAACCATCTCTACGCGCTCATTGACAAGGTATAATCACACCCATCTCAACACGAGTCTTTATGCACAAGGATAGAAACGCCAAATTCTTGGGGTGAGCAGTGACTTGTCCAACTTGGACGGAAGCCTTGAATTGTCTCCACCCGCTGTGCTTTCAGCTCCGCCCTCATTACCAGTTATACACACAACTCACGACGACTGCCACCTAAAGGAGTATCCGAACGTGGAGGTTGTTCACCTGGCCACGCGACGGACCAAACTCTTGTTTGACGTTCTCACGCCAGGCTCAATAACAGTCATCGGTATGGTGTGCACATTATTGTGGACGACAGGTGGCCCAAAAAATTCTCCATTTGCAGATTTCTGGTCCACGACGTGCGTTCGGTGCCCTGCTGCAATTGTCAAACTCTTGGCACACCATCAAGCCCAAACCGTCAATGCCAAGATTCAACATGTTCTCATCAATACAGACAACGCCGACAAGGGATGGAACCTCGTGCAAGAGCACGAGTGGGCTCCGTTCGGCCCAATTGTCCATTTGCATGTGACGCTCCCAGTGAAAGAATCACTAAAAGCATTCATGGCGATGAAACAGATGCCCCACCACGTCCTCCTCGACGCGGTGCGACGACGGACTCCACGTTCAGATCGTCACGTCTAATCGGATGATTGTGTACAGAATCACCACGTGCTCGTGAACGGCAAGTTTTTCAGTTACGATCAAGTGGACGCGGCGCTTGCTTCGATGCAGCCCAAGGTAGGCCATTTCCTGGTCAACATGCCGACCGTAAAAATGCGCACTTGTATAGCTGGATCTTGCTCCGTCCAAGTTTGCAATAGACGATGAGTTTCACGACGTTCCCAACCGACCACCACCACCATTCGCCGCACCTCAGATGCATGCATTCGTCCTCGACGACGACTTTTAACTTGCGTTGGGGGAGCGCGCAATGGACAGCTAGTGTACAGACATGTAACTTTAAGTGTACTTGACAACTTAGGCGGATTTTGCCTTGGGGGCTTCCATGAAGCGCTCCACAATCGCGTTGAACGACTTGTACACCAACACGGCCGGGAAAATACCCCACGGGGCGTTGCACCCGACGCAGATGATCCAAAACAGTCCAGGATCGGCACTCATGTGGACCGCGTCCGAGAACAACGGATGCAGGCAGAACCACGTCAATCCGTACAATTGCATGATGCTGACCTAACAACCATCGACGCGATCAAAATCATGGGAGACCACAATGTCGCAGGCGCTTCGTACCGACATGACGAGCGGATGGTAGTACGGTTTCTGTGTCACAAACGCATATGCTGCCAACAAACACATCGGACCATCCAAGAGCGCGCTAGATCGATGTGAGGAAGGAAAATTGCATGATGAAATAGCCCTCACGTGATAGTTTCCATGGCGGCAGTGCCTTCTTCCATGGGGAATCCATAGCGATAGTCCGCGGCCGAGTACAAGTCCATCGTGTTGCCAAAGTACTGGTTATCTCGAAAAAACGTGAATGACAGCTCCAAGAAGCTATGGATGAACCCCGACAGAACAAGCCAAAATGGCGTCCAGCACAGCGCACGCTTCGGATTGAGTCCCACCAAGAAGAGCAAGAAACCTCCCGTCAACGCAAACACGGGCACAAGCATGTAGGCGAACTCTGCGCCAGTGACCTTGTTGAACGCTTCCGCCAACGTTTGATCGGGGGGTACGACGGAGGGCATGATGCACGTCACCGCCACGGAATCGGAATGGGCCACGGCCGTGTAATCGCAACGTTTACTTGATGTCCGAACATTTATCCGGAGGCAAGTGATCCCAAATTGGCAAAACGCATTCTTTTAACAAAAAAACTCAATTTTGTCCAATCAGCATTTGCATTGTCAAGTTGAAATTGCAAAATTGGATCGAATTTACAAAATCGAAGTGGGGATAGCGGTGCACTTGAAGTAATTCGCAAGGAAGTCGCGCCACTTGGCGAGCTGCATCGTGGCGCGGCCAGCCTTCAAGTCGTCCAACAACGCGACAGACGGGCGGCGTACTACACAAAACACATATATCGTCAGCGTCCGCCACACGTCCAGTGTCAATCGAACCTTGTATCTTCCACACCGACTTGAAGCCGTCCGAGTAGGGCTTGACCGACCCCGGCAAGCAATATTCCTTGACGAGTAGCGCCATCTTGCGCAGTTCAAGTTCGACTTGGGATGGGGTGAGGCCTTGCTTGGCGGCGGCAGCCAACACAGCCGTGTTGTAGTCGACTTGATTCATTTCCGTCGCCGATTCCACTTGAACCTGGCAGGAATCATGTCAGAACATCACGCAAAAATGACGTAACAGTGACCATACCACAACATGGTCGATGTCATGGGCCGACTTAATGGAGGACTCGACTGGCATCGCGTTGCCGCAGTGGGTGTACAACCGACCGAGGAGACCGTTGAACTGGTACGAATAAGCGCGCGCGCCAAAGTCCCGCGTGTCTGTGAGCGCCCAGTACTGGCTCGGAAGGTCCTTGAAGTACTTGCCAACAAGCACGTCGTATTCGGCATCGACAAGTTTTCCATCGATGGTGACCTTGGACTTGATCTCCGACGTGGCTGTGATGTCGTCGCCATTGTCCGTCTTGCGCCCCTCGAACGACCCGATAAACGACTTCTTGCCTTCGTCGCTCAACCCCAACGGCTCGATTTTGCAGTGGTGGTAGATCGTGTGGAGCATGTCGACAGCTGTGTGGTGCACGTAAAAAATGGGGTCGGCCGGCGACGAGAAAGGGTTCCCCATCGGACCTTGCAACAGCGCATGGAGCTGTCCGTGCGCGCCAATTTCAATATCGTACGACACTAGTTTGATGCTCGGCGATTCATCGGACAGGTGGAGATACCCCTTGAGAATGTCAACATCCCATTCTTCCGACAGAATTCCATCTTTCCACGCCGTGGCATCGCGCGGAAGGCACCGGTCGCAGCGGGCGCCGGGCTCGACAACCGGGCAGAAATGATTGACCGGGCGCGAATCGGCGCACACTAACGAGGGGTACGCCGCACCAAAAATCATAAGGTCCGACGAGAATGGCGTCGACGCGTTCGTGTGCACCGCAAGTACTTACTCGCGTTTGAAGATATGCTTCGCGACCTCGGTGCCCCCTTTGCGTGTCTGGCGCTGCCGTACTTTGACTGGGTCGAAGACTACGCCAACTTCAAAGCGAAAAAGTGCACCAACTTTGGCACGTGCAGTCCCATCTTACAGGACTTTGGCGGAGCGGAGCCAGAAAAGAAACACGCACGAGTTGTGCGCTTCATTGTTGGACACCATCTCGTTGTGGATGGCCAGGAAGCGCTGATACAAACCACGGTCCATGGACAACTCCAACGCAGACAAGAACAGCGCTTTTGCGCTTTCGTCCAACTGGTTCCAAGGCTTGCGGACGCGAGCAGGGCATATCTGTGCCGTTGTTGGGTACGGCTTTGCTGTGGTTGTGGGCGATGGGGTGGGGGGTGGAGGAGTGACTGTTGTAGGTGCGCGGGTCCGATTGATGGGCACAAGGGTGCGAGTGTTATATGCAAGGGTGGGTCCAAGGGTCATAGCGGTTGTCATGGAGGTAGTGTCGGTGGCCAAAGGAGCTGTTGCGGAATATGGTGCTCTGCCAGACGCGCGACGAGCAGCTTTAGCGCCGTACAAATGCGATTGCCCACCGTATGTGTGCTTGAGCCAACACGTACCGCCTTCGTGGCTGGTCCAGACAAACAATTGGCATCCTTCGGTGTCGTCGCAGTCTTCCCCGCAAGCCTGAGCGAACTTTTGCTTGGTGCTTGAGATGTCGTGTCCCCAGTAATCGACGTTTTCAATCAATTCCTCGTAAGCAGGAGGTAGCGGGGGAGCCGGCAGTGCCCCAGCTTTGGCCCTATCGAGTGGCGTGGGCGAGGACGTTTGGTTCTTGAGCCAGCACGTGCCACCTTGGTAGCTGGTCCAAACCCAAACTTTACAGCTGTAATGGGCATCACAGTCAGCGCAGCAGTTCGCGGCATCTGCCTGGGATGTCGACCCAACGTCGTAGCCGTAAAAGTCGACGTTTTCGATGAGATTGGTGCATTGGGCGGCCACGAGGGCGAGGCCCACGGACGCAGCAAGAATGGAAAGCGCTGCAACCATGGTCAAGTCTGTATTGCGTCAATTGCGTTCTTAACGGCGGTAATCGGTAAATGGCCGTGTCGGTTGCGGCCATGCAACTCCGGCATGTCCACACAACATGCCACAGATTGACTGTTCATTTTGTCCAATCGGAATAAAGTATCCGATGATTTGCTTTGTGCTGTCCAATCAAAACCATTTACAACAGACTTTCAACCAATAAAAGACGTGGATCCAACACATTGAGACACGGTGTCAACATTTGCATCGATTGTTTACGGCCCAACACGGCGACAAGTCAGAACGACGTCATGAGACATTTCTGGTGGTCTGGTTCGAACTGTGATATAACATGGACGTCTCTGAGTCGTCGCTCCTGTCCCTCTCGAGACTGCTGCTGCTGCTGCTGATAACTCTGCAACCTGACTACAACCGTGCTCGCTGTCGAAGCACCTGAAGGTAAATGAGCCTGGTCGATAGTGAGAGACGTACTCCGAGAGCCGTCTTACAACTGCCACGTTAGTCGTGCCGCTGCGCCTCTTTGACGCACCTGCGACGGTTTGCAGTCCTCGTATGCGAACGATATCCTTCACTTCTGCATGGGGAATGTCATGGATAGTAAACTCCGCGGTAGCCGGGGATCGGAACCACGAACTTTGGAACAGCAAACCGAAGCTCTACCAACGGAGAAAATACCCCCTGTAAGCACCCTAAGCCTGTGTGTGCGCATTTCAACAGGAGGTGCTCCAATTTCGATGGTGAGAAGTGGGCATTCAGATATCCCAGTAACGTGTTCAAACTCGGCGAGACCGTGTGTAATATCAATATAGTGACAATCTGTACGTACAGTGAACCGGGAAAAAACGCGCAAGCGTTGTACCATCATTAAATTTGCAGTGGGATTCGTTGATTTCA